TCTTGTTTTTCACATAGTTTTAAGTAGTTCTGGAATCCTAAGGTTGTTTTCAGGACCTTGCCTTCGACGCCCACCTCACCCGCTGCTCTCTCAAACTGTAATGGAACGGCGACTAATTTTGAAGCTAAAAGTGTACCTAAAGTCGCAGCTGCCTGATGCCACTGCTCCAGAAGTCATTACTGCTTCAAAAGACGCTGTTGGCAGTGGAGGTCCTACTTTGAACGGTACAGCACACACAGCATGCTCGTCGAACTCGGTATATTGCGACTTATGTTTCACTACGAAATGAGACTAATGTGTCGTCTGAATCGTATTTCAGGGTGAGGAAGTAGAAAATTCCAGTCTGAGTGAGTTGAGGAAGAAATTGATGCAGGCATCGGAGAGCACGAGCTCTGCAAACTATGAGGTATGCACTCACCAAGGGGTGTGAGTGGATCGGGTAAAGACGGAATTTAGACCTGAGTTTCAGTCTCGCGTCGCGACACAATCACGGGTTTCCACAGGCAGAAAAAGTTCTACCCCTGATCGGCGACTTGATCCTATCTACGAAGGTATGTGCTTTTCACCGAACTGTGTGATTGTTATTTAAAGGCTGATCTTATGATGAAAAGGCAGCCCATTGGAAGTTAGGTAGGAGATGGTCAGTGGTGCCCGAAAGAAGGGAAGTCGACAAAAATGACCTAAAACCCGAGAAATCGCAACTCTTCCCTGTCCATTAATTCGCTAATAGATGCGGTTGACGATAGATCTGTTGGAAAGGGCTGCACAGAGAAGAGTCGCATCTATTAGCGAATATCCTAATGATCTCTCTGCTGAACGGCGAGTTACTTAGACACCAGACGACGCGAGAGGAGGCGCTCCGGGCCTATAGCGCGCCACTTTGGCGTGGGGAAGGCCATACTAGATCGCCGAAGGCACATCCTTCTATGTGTGTCGGTTCGCACCCACAGGAGGTCCCCCTGTCTCTTCACTATGTAGGTTTACCCTTCCTTCGTCCTTTTTCGTGGAACCCTATTTTGATGATTCTTTCCCTTCATTTTGCTTTGAGCAACGTCGTATCTGTGCGATTTCAATAGTCTGATCCTCCTGAAGGTGGTCCCCTACACCTCACCATAACTACCATCTTCAGCACCATGGTCTGTTTCCATAATTGGATTGTGCTACCACTTGACACAGTCCAACCCCCGCCCCAGACCTCTGAAAATTGTGGAGGTAGAGCGGAAAGAAAAGGTCTGCAGTGCCTCAGCTCCAATATATCC